GCTATGCAGATCGAAAAAATGTCATGTCCGAAGATATAAATCAATTCGACGATTGCAAATTAACCAATGCGAAATTCTGAATACCTGAATTCGGAATGTTATACGATGACTTGAATCTGGATTTTGATTAAAACAGATGTGTGATTCTGTACGATTTGTACGACACGCGTTTCTGCAAGGACTACTACGAATACGAGTATCTCGAGCCGAGTCTCACCTTTACAACTTTTTTATGTAATGGCCCGTGCATGATCATCGATTGCTCTCGACAAAACGAATTGGTCAAGAATGGCACCGTGCGATTAGACTTTGAATGTAAGGAGAACGTGCCCGCAAATACAATAGCCTATTGTTTCATCATACACGCGCGTGGTTCAGTATAATCTATTGACCAACGTTGTGCATAAAATCACCTAAGTGCATCTCCGACATGATAAAATCTACGATACGTCGCAATCGACCACAATCGACCGCAGTCTTCTCGACAACATGCTCATGCCAACGTTCGTGGATCTGCAAGGATTCATCGTTAACAAGAAATTCATCGTGAAGAAAGTGGTGCTGAAACAAGGGACCGTTCTCACACATTACATTTTTACGAGTCCCGTGCCATAGAAGTTTTTGACAAGATCCGACAGGTCTTGCGTTTCCTGGTTGAGTGCTTATCATCATGGATTGCGATGGGGGGACGGGATGGTCTCATACAACGAGGCGAAACGCCTGATCACGACAGTTGTATTTGACGTATGATGCTATCATGTATGTTAAGGAATGCGAGAAACGAACGCGGCTGTGGAACTTGCTTTTGGACGATGAGCGAGAACGCATGTACATCGTGACCTTGGATGCAATTTACGAAGACATGGAATCTTTAACTAATCTAGATGTTGCTAATACTATGCGATGTGGACAACATGTTAAGAATTGCGCGCTACAAAATGTTGAAAATATATAATTGATGGTTGCACAAAAGAACTTTTTAAATAAAAATACGTTAACATATTAATTACTATATTTCTAGTTTTAGTATTTTTTATATTTACTGTATTTCTTTTTTCCTTCCTTTGTAATACATGTACTCGTATGTATGAACGTATATGTATGAACGTGCATATATGTATGTATGTATGTACGCATGTATGTACCCAGATCTTTCCGTCGAATATGGCCAACCCTGTATATATATGTGTACGTAGGTATGTACGTATATATGTCTGTATCTGAAAATATCGACGCTTCTGTTAAACGCGACATGTCCGATCTGACAGTACATATATACAATGTATATAGATAGTGTATAAGACTTTTTTCATTCAATCGTAAGCTTCAGTTACAAGCGTTAAGACATGGACCGAGTAAAAGAATATATACGTCGAAAATCGATCGAAAGGAGTACCGTCCGTTATCGCCAAGTCCGCCAAGTCCACCGCCGTCGAAGGAAAAAGCGAGATATTGGGAATGTCCTGAGAAAAAAGTCACTATCAAAGTCGCCAATATTAACGTCTGCTCATCAACGTCATCAATGCTATCGAAATATAAATCATAAAGTATAAACATTGATAAACTCGCGAACAAAAAAAAACGCGATAAAACGTGTTGCAACACATTCGCAATTTTTGGAAAAAGGGGAGGGTTACTCCCTTTTCGATTCTAGAAGTTTTTGCGATCTACATCGCAATTTACGCGGACGCAATCAGTGAGTATCTTGTGATACTCGCTTGTACGGTTGAAAGTGTATTTCGCTAAAAACAATAATCGTACGAAACGAAGAAGAATTACAGTAACATGTAAGTTTTAACGTTTTATACACAAAAGAAACGATTTTTTTTAACATTATGTACGCAGCATAGAACATCGCGAGGTGCATTTATTGATTATTGTCAGACGTTACGATCTGACGGCTACAGACTACAAATTTTTGGAAATTGGAATCAACGTTGGTCCACCGAGTTACGTGGAGGTCGTCCTTGGAGATCATCGCGGACATGAACTGTCGCTGTTTCTCGAAACATGGAAGAGCCTTTATGAGCGATGAAATATTTACAAGATGCGAAACGAATACAAAAACAATTTTATAAGCGTTGAACCGTTGACCGTCAGCGTTTGCACGCTGAACGATGCTCGTACTTCTCGATTCTTTATCCGTACGCATTACAATGACTGAAACGACACTACGATGTATGTTTGCATTTTACGGATGTATCGATATAATGTTCGAACGATTAGACCGACTCATATCAAATATACGCGATTTTCCAACATCGCGTCCGAAGACGCAATACGCGATAGCAACATCTTTAACAAACATCAGCTCGTCGATTGCGAGCTATTGATTTTAATATGTACAAAAAAGAAACGATGTAATAACATGTGAATAAAAAATTTTTTTGTTCACTATATATGTATTTTCTTTACTTCCCATTCATCTATTTATTCATCCTATACTTCGACGCGCTATCGTACTTCGTTTAGATAAACAACAGCCAACGCTCGTTTTTTTTTGCCGTGTCACGAATCATGTACATAAGTACGCATGTACACATGTATGTACATATGTATGAATGTATGTATGTACCTTTCCGCGTAAGAAAAAAGGAATCACAAAATTAGATTTGGATTTTAAAGACGAACGCTTCTACAACAGTATGGTAAAAGTATAAATTGATACATTCGAAATAGATATTTTGTAGACTGATTTTTTATCATAAGATATACAAAATATCAATTTCATTGTTTTTGAATACATTTACTTACCAAATCAGTATATGCATACATTGACTAAGTGTATATACATTTACTGAATTAACACTTTGACACATACTTGAAAAAAAATAATATACGTATAGAACTGCAGTGTGTATTTACGTTTGAATTATGTTCTTTAATAGTGAATTCACGGTTTTTAATGTTTGAAAATCCTTTTTGTTTGTCGCGTTTAAACAATATTTTTACAATTATTTTTTGATTATACAACGTCTTTTTTCTTTTGGAAAAGGAATCTCTGTAACATTTATATTTTAAAATTAAATTATCAGCGTGTGCAATACAAGCATACAAGAGAAGTGTAACATATAGGCCTAAGAAGAAGAAGAAAAAGAAAAAAAAAGAAGAAGAAGAAGAGGAAGAGGAAGAAAGAAGAGGAAGAAGAAGAAGAAGAAGAGGAAGAAGAGGAAAAAGAGGAAGAAGAGGGACAAGAGGAAGAAGAAGAAGAAAAACATCCTGCATTTTAAATAGTATATGATATTATTCTTATACAAATAATTAAAAATTGATTGTAGAAGAAAAATAATTACACCAATCGATTATATGGGAAAAATTATTAAAGAAACTTATATTGTATAACTCTTTCTTAATTGTTCTTTGTTTATGTAAAAATTATTTGTTTATAACAATTAATTGCAAAATTGATTTTTATAATGTACTTTTAACATCAAAAATATTTTTTCATGTCCGGTTCTTTTTATAATACAATTGTTATTTTTTAGCTATTCTTGGTGATCTAGGCATGGATAGAAACGATTTTTCATAATTTATTTATTTTTTACATAAACACAGTTTAAGTATGCTTCTTTAGTCATTTTTCCCGTACAATCAATTGATGTAATCAGAATTTTTTTACAATCAATTTTTAATAATTTGTTTATAACAATTTGTAGCAAAATTAATTTTTGCAAGATGTCTTTTATGTCATTATACAGAGTATAAGAAATTATACAACTTTTATATAAAACATTTTTTTGATACTTAGAAATAAATCTTTTCGAGATGGCATCATTTGTAAGACTTGATAAATTTTTAAACATTCCTATGTTTATTCCTAAATTTATGCAATAAAAGTATATATATTGTTATAACATAATAATTAAACAACAAACCGCAGATACATTTTACTTCAATTGAATATAACGTTGATTTTTTTCCATAAAATCTAATTTACTATCTACTATAAAAGCCATAAAGCAATTCTTATAATATTACACTTTGAATGAATTTTTAAAAATACATACATTAGTTAATTTTGCGCACATTTAATTAGTTCCCGACATCAATAAAATGTATAGCGCTGTGGTACTTTACATTAAGTGATATCTTTTTAATGACCTTGACCATGATATACGTTATCAAGATTATAACTCTAACTGAATAACCTCTAACAGGTTTTAGCCGACGGTTGCTAGTTAAAAAGTTATTAATAAAAGAAATTTAAAAAAATAATGTCTCTTTTCTACTATATAGAACAAAAATTCTCTGCTTTACAATAGATTTTTCCTGTTTTAAAAGAAATTTTCTTTAAAAAAACGTATAGATGCAATTTTTAATATTATAGCAAAATATGATCTCTATTTTAATAAAACATAATACAACTCGTTTTGTGTGGAAAATCGTGTACCCTTTGGTATGGGGAGAGGTGGGGTAATCGCTTCGCATGGAAAGTCGGGCGCCTTTTGAGGGATAGGCGGGATGAAAATCGCTTTGCGTAGAAAGCCATATGCTCCTAAGCGCTATAATAATAATACCGCTAACCATATAATAATTAGTAATAATAACAAAAATTATGAGAAAACGTATTCAAAGAAAATTTTTATTTTTAAAGCCGGAAATCTATTTTAAAACAGAGAATTTTTTTTCTATATAGTGGAAAAGAGACGTTATTTTTTTTAATTTTCTTTGTTAAAACTTTTTAATGAATGGCGACCACCGGCTAAAACCTATTGGAAGTTACTCAAGATCATGATGATCTTAACCTTGACAACATGTATCATCGAAGAGATCCCCTAATATAAAAATTTACCTTTTTACCTTATGATTTATGTTACGATTCTAATGTTTGCATTAAAAAAATGTAATAATAACATGTTAATTTTTATGCAATATTTTTCACAATATATTGAGGTACGTATGTAACAAAGCATTAGAATAGCATAGAATGATAAGATAAAAGAGCTAGACATGCATATTATTTGTTATGATAGACATCACCATCATAAAAAGTCGTTTACCTAACAGTATCAGGAACAATCCCATAAGTACCGAAGATACAATTAGCAGTATTCGTCGTCCAACTATGTCTATTAGACACATTGCTAGGAAACAAGACAATATTTGTACTCCACCAATAAGGATGGTTTGTTCGCTTCCGGTTAAATCGCCTGATCCGCCAACATTGAAGATTGTTAATGCGTAGAAAATCATAATATTAACGCCGCTTAATTGTTGAGCCAGGAACGCAAAAAAGCATGTAAAGAAGGAACTAATAACGTATCGATTTTTAAGGACATTTATTGTAATCTGTAAAAAAAAAGTATCTTTAAATTTTATACACGTATATTACAATAAAAAGCAACTTGTGAAATTTTAAAAATAATTTTTAGAGTGTAAGGCATCTTATTTTATTACAATATTTATTTACTTTTTAGAGTAACTCCGGCAAATATGCCGCGCTGGGATTTACGCCGCAGAAGTCAGAAAAAGTAGAAGGAGTGGGGGTAATTTGCCCGCAACTACTTACATGCCTTTATGTTATATTAGTATTGTATTACGATTTCAGTTTCTTACTGTTAATATTAATGAAATTATTGTAAATTGATTTATCTGTGTAAGTAGCGTTATAAATTGTAATCTACATAAAATGATTACTGTAGGTCGTGCAAAAGACTTAGTGGTTATATCATAATACATGAGTACAAGGAATAGTAAAATATGTTGTACAAAATATAAGTACTTTGCTCTTGCATTCTTTGTTTAATTTATTGTCTTGTATATCCTACCTGTTTGAGATATATGACATTTTTAACAGACGGGATTTATGCCTAAAGCATACAAAGTGCGCAGATTAAATTCAGTACACTAAATACAATAAACGCACATTACATGAAATATATACCTCATATCATAACACTTGTAATATATCTGGGAAGATTGTAATTATTATTTATTACTTCATATACATATTTATCATTCTTATTCCTTAATAAAACTTTAAAAACGCATTTTATAAGTTATTATGTCATTTTACATCTTATTTATATATATTATTTGTAAATTTCTTATAGCCATACATACCTCCCCTCCCTCTATGAGTAATATATCCCACCCCTATGGGATATACGTATACGGCAGAATGCAAGGGTTTGAAAAAATTCATTTTTTAATACGAAATATAAATATTTCGGATTTCTAATATTTTGTTTATAATAGTAGACAGTACAAAATTTTTACTGATATATTTCATTTACTTTAAATACAGTAAATAATACTTACTAAATTGATAAGTTTTTGATAGGTGCGGCGTATATACCGGAATTACTCTATGTAAAAAATACTTATTTTAACCTCTATACTAGAAAACGTTTTAATTTATTTGTATAGTAATCTGCAATATTTAATTTTAACTTATATACCCTGCTTAAAATTTATTATAGAGAACTATAGAAAGAAGTTCTATAGTTTTTAATGAGCGTTTTGAATCGGTAAATCCCCATCCAATAATAGTTTTCTATGTAAAATAATGTATAGTCTCCAACAGTTTCCGATAGGGATTCCACTTGTCGATTAACACCTAGATACCAAAATGCAAATATCATGTAAATAAAAGAAATAAAAAATCAAAGCCTTTTTTCCCTCATATTTACATTATATATTCATCACGTGTGAGATACACCAAACATTTATACGCATGTATATATTTTTAAAAACGCACGGAGTTTCGGCAAGGTTCGACCCTAAAATTTGTGGGATGGTAACCTTAGACGCTAACTCTGAGCTATAATCGTACACATGTGTATAAACAATTTAGAATTCATCTGTTTTTCGATATTATTTCTCGTACAAGTTATTTAGATAATTATTTAGAAGACGTCCTTCACCTTTAATTTTAATGAAATTATGCTTATTCGATGTTTTCATACAAAACAAAAGATTGCTCTATTCTTGCTATGTGAGAAAAGTTACTCTCTAAAACTGAAAGAGTGAGATTTCATTTAAAACGAGTGAAATACAAGTGCAACTAAAACCTAAAATTTAGCCCGTGTATTTTGAGTGATCCGCCACTATTATGTAATTAGGCGTTAAATTAGGCTCCATAAAATGTAGTGAAATCGCACTCCAATAGAGTGAAAAAGCACTCTTTTTCTGGTGTAATATATAGATTCACTCTCTGCAAAGAGTGCAAAGTAAAAGGAAAGAGTAAATGTTAAGTTTAGCCCTCCTTCACGTCCAATCTTGAAAAAATTCATTTGATGTTTTTACACGAAACAAATGAATGTGACAGGAAAAACGTCGTTCTGCCTTGCGGAACGAAATATTAGTCATTAAAGTTGATCATTATTACTCTCTAAACCTCGTGAAATCTCACTCGAAGAAACTGAAAATTTAGCCTATCTTAAAAAAAGAGTGAAAATACAGCTACTCTTCAAGAAGGCAGATTTTCACTTTTTTTAGAGTCAGATTTACTCTTTTGAAATGAAATTTACTCCAAAGGAGTGAAATCTCAATCCCTTTTTTGGAATGCAATAAGGTAGATGGAACTTCACTCCAAAAAAGGGATTGATATTTCATTCCTTCGGAATGAATCTTATTCTAAAAGAGTAAATCTCATTTTAAAAAGAATTAAAAAATCTGCTACTCTTGAACAAGATTAACCGTATTTTCACTCTTTTTTCAAGACAGACTAAATTTTCAGTCTCTTTGAGTGAGATTTTATTATTAAGTAAGCACTCGTTGTGTTGTTTTTACACAAGGTGATGTGGCTTCTTCTTCTTTGCGTTCGGGCGTGGTCGAGAAGAAAACTACCTCTCTGATTTTGAGTCTGATTTTCGTTTACTGCAATGGCTCACAGATGCAATAGGATTTAATTTTTTTAAATAAAGTATATTTTAAAAAATTGATAAATATGTAGTTTAGGGGAGTCCTCTTCCAATGACCTTGACCTTGACATATATTGTCAAGGTCATGATCCTGAGTGACCTTGAGAAAATTTTGACTTCACTCATTAAAAAATTATAAACAACAGAAGTTTAAGAAATAACGAATATCATATCTCTTTTCCATCATATAAAACAGAAATTTCCCGTTTTAAAGTATATTTTACAATTTTCCACGCTCACACCTCATCTTCCCCCTGCTTGGGGGCGTACGACTTTCGTATTTTCTTATATAATTTTGTTCTTAGAACAGAAAATTTTTTCCTGCTTTATTCTGCATACATTTTATAATGTGCGCCCTCAAGCAGGGGGGAACAATGGTTAGAGTTAGATTATTATATACCTCATCAGAGAAAGATATATTATATAGATCATATATCTTTCTTTGTAGAAAAGGTACTAATGATCAGATTATGTTAGGTTATTATATCTATATAATACAAATGGATATAAAATCATGGCTATATAATATACATATGAGTACATAATGATCATGTATCGTGGTTCCCTGCTGCAAATTTCTATGGAAAATTTTCCTATGGGTTTGTCTAACCATGAGTTAGGTACCCCGCGAAAAATTAAATTCGACTGGTCCCCATGGGAAGAAGCTATCTTGCTGTAAATGAGTCTCCCATGAGTCTTTTCATGATCCTATAGAGGACTATAAGATTCTGGTTGTGTTTCAAAATTTACTGCCACTAAAAATCTATAGTTTTCGTTATGTACACTATAGATTCAATATTATATTATATGACAGTAAATTTTGGAACCTAACACAGCCTCTGTAGGAGCTTGTATAGTATAAACAATTAATGACAACAGAGAAAAGTATCAGGGCATTCCTCGTCTTGAACCCAGGCCTGATCTCTCCTACGAATTAGTAGACTTCCGTCCTGCCATTGAGCCACACAAAGCCACCAGACATTGATAACTTCTCTGTGTCTATTTCCTCTAAATTTCTTACAATAAATATCTATAGGATTTACACAGCATGTATATATACGATAACATAGGACATTTTTTTACAAGATTTTACATAGAAATCTATGACATCCAATCCATAAAAACAGTCTCCTAAGATCACATGGAAAAAAAAATGATGAGCATTGACACTGCAATCCTAAATGATATACAGGATGTCTCGTAATTGGAATTATATTCGTGTGCAGATAAAGTTAATTAAACTGAGTTGAAAAGTCCTATATCATTTCATAATTTTCACAATAGTTAGTTTCTAAAAATTGCAGAATAAGCGGATAAAATCAACGCATAAGACAACTTTAAGATACTTTTCAGAGTTCTTTATAACATATTTTAAAGATGTTTTTCAAAGAACTCTTAAAGTTACTTCAAAGTTGTCTAATATGTCGATTTTAAACATTTTGCTCATTGGGTAATAATTGCAAAAATTGCAAAATGATATAGGATCTTCCGGTTCAATTTAATCCGCCCTATTTGCACACAAAAATAGTTACAAATATTTTGAGATATCCTGTATAATTCCAAAATAGTCGCAAATATTCTGAGACATCCTGTATAGTATCTATAATTTACATATTAGAGTGTGTACACAAAATGCTAAACAATAGTCGACTGATGTAATTCCACGTAAAAATCTAAGATAATTTTTCTATTATTCTAAAAACTGAAAGTCACGTGATAAACAAAGTTTGGTGATTCAAAAAAGTCAAGAATATATATTAGTAGTAATACTAGACGAGTTCTAACGCATGGAGCTAGAAGAGAACGCGGGGCGCGGGGAATACACGTACGAGCGGGGATACCTAACACGAGGAAGGAGGGGGAAAGGTCCCGGCTCTCACGTAAACATAGGGCCACGGACCTTATTTTTTGTCGTCACCCGCCGCTTTCTCCCCAAAAATGCATCAGTAATAAAACTTACATGTTAGAGAAAGATAGAGCGCGCGACAGAGCACGTAACGTGCTATGAATGAAGAAAGGATGGAAGAATGAATAGAGTACAAGTTTCTTTTGTACGACACAGTTTTTTCAATATAGTTTTTCCTGGCGCGTCGAGGCAAAGGATGGGAAGTAAAAGACAATACACACGTAATAATGCGAACAAAAATTTTTTATTCACATCTTATTACACCGGTTTTCGTACTTATTAAAAACTAAAACTAATAGTTCGCAATCGACGAGTTGATGTCCATTGAAGATGTCGCTATCACGTATAATGTTCTCAGATGCGATGTTGGAGAATCGCGTATACATGGTATCTACCGTATCGACGAGTCGAGCTAATCGTTCGAACGTTACACCGATACATCCGTCAAACATACGGCGTAGCGTTATTTCGGTCATCGTAATGCATATGGATGAAGACGTACGAACGTAGCATCGTTC